CCGCAGAGGGCAAAAAAAACCAGCAAAAAGAAACGCAAATTAAAAAACAACAACCATGGATGGGGATGCAGTCACGGGTGGTAAAAAAGTATCGACTAGACGAAATGTTCGGCGAGGACATCAAGCGCCACCCCCTGGACGGTAAAGAAGTCTGTATCTGTGTCCTCAGACGGTTCGTCAGAAATGAAAGACTCTTCTGCGAGGAGGATCTCGTGGCAGGTGTACAGCCAGCGGCAATACAACAGTTCCTGAGGATCAACCATCGCCGGATTTGGCTCAAAACGCGTTTTAAAAGGGACACCAGATGCCTTTAAATCAGCTTCTTTGAGTGCTTTTTGGGTTCGGAGTGCAGGCAGGGCATCCGAGTAGTTTCGCCAGAAACCTAAAAGTGAGAAGGCAGTTGTCACAGCGTTTTAAAATTCAAAGGTAACAAAATGAGACGCAGTTGTGAAAGCTTAAAAACCGTTGGGTTCACCAAACTGGGGTTTTTAGAAAGGACCGAAGTTTCTTTTGCAAGAGAACGCTTTATTTTGAAGATGAGCATCCAACATTTGTAGCAAAAAATGGCTCCATTCACTGAGACCAAAAGATATAATAAAGTTTTCAACAAGCTAGACGTTTCCATAACATCCACATCCATGATGAAGAAAGGCCTAACCTCAGCTCCTGGATTTCCATTTCTTTACACGTGAGGTAGCGTGCTATGAATGGGAGTACAGGGTACTGATATGCTTATCTACAGCAGGACATATGCCGGAAGCCCCGATGCATAGTACAGGAAGACTTCGGAATGATTAACTCAGAGTATAGCGGATGAGCAGCCTCATCGAGAATGTGATCAGTAAATCGCTTGACCGTTTAAAAGTGTCACTGTATTATAAGATCAGCTAAAAAGCATAAGAAACACTGGCAGATGAATGGAGCATTCGGAGGATAGGTTTAATAATCAAAAGGTATGGAAAAATAACCGGAGAGCAATAGGGAATGAGGGGGAGAATGCAGGCATTTATAAATCACCAGATTAGGACTTGAAGGGTCTGTGTGTGATCTGAACGTAACCGAAGGATATAATATAGAATTTTACGAATTTTAATGAAGCGTCTTTTAATAGGAAGAGTAAGTGAAAAATTAGTTTTCGGAGTAACACAAAGCCCCGTTCAACTAATATAGGAAGGGCTGCACATCAGTGGGTAATGATGACTTAGACGGCCTCCCTAAACAGGATACGAGAAGAGTAATCACCAGCAATACCAGCGTCATTGCGCCAAATTCCAGGATAAAAGAATAAATTTTATTGTTAGGGTTAAGCCGAGGCTCACTTTTCGAGGTAGTCTTTACTGCAGGGTTAGGGCAACGATTAAGCCTACGGTTTAAGCTTATGTCAGAAGTGGTTTAGGACGTGAAAAGATTAACCCTTCCTGAAATTATGACCAGGGAGGGAAGTCCCTATTT